ATTAAATTAATATTAAATTTAAAAAAAGCGGTTTAGCTTTTTATAAAATTTATAAGCGGCTAGATAAAATATTAAAATAGGTTATTAATTAGGTTAAATTATTAAATTAGGATATAATATAAAGAAAATTTTATATTTAAACCTTTATTTATATTATATTATTAGTTTTTAAATAAAAATTAATTAATTTATATATTAATAATTATTAAATATATTAAATATTAATTTAATTATTATATTAATAAAAAAAACATTAAATATATATAAATAATATCGCAATTATTATAATAAAATATATAATAATATAGGTTTATTTTTTTTAAAATTTAATAGTATTAATTCCTTTTTTTATTATTTTTATAAATCTTATAAAATATTAAATAGTTTACGTATATATTATATTATTTAAGTACCGATTATTATATAAACCGGTAAAAAAATAATATATATATATATTTAAAATAATAAAGATTTAATATATTATCGATAAAAATATTAAAAGTTAATAAATAAACCTTTTAAGGTATTAGCTTTTTTTTATAGTTATTTTATATAATTATAATTATATATTATAATAAAAACGCCGCTTTATTAGTTTTAATTATAAAAAATTCAATAATATTAATATATAAAAATTATAAAATACGGTAAAATATATAATAAGGTTTTTAATTAATAATAGAATTTTAATAGATATTTATATAATTAGTATTAAATATAACGGATTTGGGTTAATTTGGGGTTTATAAATTTATATTTTTAAATATAAATTTATAAATTTAAAATAGTCCCGATAATAAATTAATATAAAATTTAGGTTTATAAAAATATAATAGCCGGTTAAAAATAGCCTCCGGATATTTTATAGGTTTTCTTTTTTTTATAAATAAAACGTAAATATAATATTCCGTAAAGTATAGCTTAATTAGCTATATTATTCCGACTTTTTATATTGCCGTTATTAAAAGCTATTATAATAAATTCCGGTATAATTATATTCCCGGATATATTTAAATTATTTTTAAAATTAACGTTAAACTAATTAATAATATTTTATAGCTTTTATATTATATTAATATTATTAAAAAAACGGGTATAAAATAAATGTAAATTATAAAAGGCTATATATTTATTTCGAATAGTTAATTTTAATAGTTTAAAAATTTAGGTATTTTTTATAAAAAATAACAATATAGGTTTAATATAGGATTATTTATTAAAACGTTTAAAGTTTTAAAACGTTATACCGATTTATAACGTAAAATTATCGAAAAAATATCCAAAATAGTAAAAAAATATCGAATAGTTATTATAATCGGCTAAAAACGTTTTTAATATTTATATAATAAACCTTATAATATTATAGAGTATAAAACTTTTTTATTTCGGAATTTATATTATTTAGCTATAAAATTAGGCTATATTATAGCTTAAAAGTATTATTAACCGATTAAATTTTAATAATGCTTTTTTAATCGATTCGGCCCGAATTATAAATAAATAAAAACTTATAAATAACGGTAAGTTTATATATTAATAAATATATAAATATATTAATTATATAATATTATTATTATAAGTAATTATATAGTTTAACTATTAACTATAAAACGGTATTTAATTAGATAATTTTTTTAAATACGGGCTATTTAAAAAAATAAACGGTTTTTATAAATATTATATACCTTTATATATTAATTCTATATATATTATATTTAAACCGATTTAATATAATTTCGTTTAATAGTATTATCGAAAAAGGGTTAAATTTTTATAAAATAAAGGTTAAAAAATACCGATTAAATATAATATTTATTATTTACTATATTTAATATAGGTATTTAATATACTATTTTATAAAATTTAACCGCTAAATTAACCGGATTTTAATATATTTTATTAATTATATTCGAAAAATGTTTTATTTAAATATCTATATTTCGGTAATTATATAGTATTTTAATAATATTAACGCTTTTATATTCCTTATAATATTATTTTTTTATATTTAAATATTAATTATTTTTTCGGTTTATATATTATAAAGCCGCTATTTGGTTCGACTTTTTAAACCGTATATTACGGGAAATTAAAAAAAAGATCTAATAGTCGGATTTAATTTATTATTTTTATATTTATATTAAAAGTTTTAAAGGTATTATAGCGTTTTAGGTTTATTTTATTAAAAAATATTAAAGTATTAATAATAAAAAAAAAGTTTATAAAATTTAACGTATTATTAATTTATAAAAGGGATATTTAAAAATAAAAAAAAATATAGGAAGTTTTAAAAACCCGATTTTTATTAAATTATAATAAATAGCTTAAAAGGATTTTTTATAAAATATTATTTAACGATAGGATTTTTAAACGTTTAATATAACGTTTTTAATAGTAAATATAAACTATTATAGTAATAATTAATATATAATATATTAAATTAAAAATTCCTAAAAGCTTTTATAATTAATTTTTTATTATTTTTACGTATTATATTATTATTATTATATTTATTATAGTAATAATAGCTAATTAAATATATATATTTTAAATAATATTTCTTATAATATATTTAAATAATTTATCGATTTATAATAATAATTATATATACTATTTAATAGTTTAAACTATAATAAATTATGCCTTAAAGCTATTTTATTTATTAATAGCTTAAATTATTAATAATTCCTAATTATTATTACTATTATAATAATATTATTATACTATATAAAAAATAAATAATAAAGGCAAAAATAAAAGTCATTTATTTTTTAATTCGGTTTTTTATATATTTTTTTAAAAATAAAAGTTATTTATTTCCTATTTTAATAGCTTATATACTTTTCCGAGAGTCCGGGAGAGTAAGAAGTTTACTAAAAACGGCAATTAACGACTCCTAAATGCTGATAATGGGGCTATTGACGTCTAAGGGCTTGCCCCGACAGGCGCCGCGCGTGGCGCAGATGAGATCGATAGTAGTGACGTAGGTGTGCAAACGATTACCCCTAGCGCGGTGACTGAGGCGGGCGTGGACAGCGGCGTTGACGCGGCGGACGGCGGTGTGCCAGGCGTGGAAGCGGCGGGAGAAGGCGCGGAGGGCGTCGAGGAAGGACTTGGAGGAGCGGAGGCGGGGGGGCAGGGCGTCGGTCCAGGCGAGGGCGTCCGGCTCGTGGGCCCAGTTGGCGGCGACGGCGCGCTTGGCCTCGTCGCGTCGGTCGCGCTGCAGCCGGTGCGCGCGCGCGAACTGCAGCTCGTCCTGGAAGTGCTGCTCGAAGGCCTCCTCCGACTCCAGCACCGCCCGGTACGCCGCGTCCGCCTCCACGTACGCCATGTACTGCTCGAACGCGTCCGCGTACTGCGTCACCCGCCCGAACGCCTCCCGCGCTATCTGCTCCTGCGCGTAGAAGCGCGCCGCGGGGAGCGGGATGTTTCGCAGGTATGAGATAGCCTCCGGTAGGGAGGGGAAGGCTAGGCCATCCATGATGAAGTACTGGGGGTTGTTCATGGTTATGGATGGTCTTAGGTTAGTTAGAAGGGGTCGAAAAAGGAGAAAATAATGACTTAGTGGAATGATACATAGGTTGCTGATGAATGGGATTATCACCTAGGTACTTAAGTTGGCGAGACAAAGGGATCACCTTGACTACAAGATGGAACAGCCCATTTTGTTGAAAACGGCACATTTACCTTGTTTCAGATGTCCATCAAAGAAGCAACAATGTGTATTTTTTTTTTCGTTCTATCTACTATTTATAGAATTCATCTTCTAGTTGTTAAACGACTTTAGCAAGCGTATGATATTGCAAGTGCAACCCCTGAACTGATTTCGAGATATGTCGATATTGTTAGCCATGATTCTTCCTCCTAGATGGGCTTTTCGATATCATAGAATTTTGAATAACATTTTATACGTTGTCAAATCCCTCGTGGCTGTATCGTATTAGCTCGAGGGAAGAAAGCGACAGGACTTATCCCCGGGTTAACGTGGGCGTTAGGGAAGAGTCAGCATATGCGATCTGACCTAGGAGCTGGTGAATTCGCTGTGAGTGTATTAGGATACCTGGAAGCTCTGGATTTCCATGAAAATGATTCACTTAGGGGCTTGAATCTAACCAAGGGTCTAATCATAGAATAGCTCAGGTGTACTCTCACCACATGACCTCAGAAGAACATATCCATCTAGGAATTATCTATCTGATTTAATCCTTTGCAAAGACCAGTAAATGTCAAAGTAATCGAACTTGCTTGGTTAAAAGTTTCCGGGTTTCGGCTTACCCCTTATAGCTTAATGATAGACTTAGGTATAATTACCAAATTCGTTGCGATTGACCCCTTAGATTAATATAACGATCGCAAATAAAATGGGCACGTCGTACCGGCGTTAATAGCCTAACAGATAAGCAATCGACTTTGAGCCTTGCAGTTATATATACAACTTGAATATATGCGCAATTACATACCCATAAGCCTATTATCCAACAATCAGGGCCTAATATTCAAGCTTATATTATAAGAAAACCATCGATTTGCATGGCTATGCAACAACGCACGTACATAACTGGTCTACTTAGCAGTATCACCATCAACGGAGATATTGTTGTATATAAGAGTAAAATGAAACCTGAGATATCGAGTCGTTATAAAGCGAAGTTCCTAAATGATAAAGTTCCATATGATGTCAAAGCTACATAGGTGCCTGGATCGTTCGGTTGTTACCTGAGTGTTGACTCACTCGCATGACCTCTTGTGCGCGAATACGTACCGGACAGGACCTATACGAAGTAGCTATATGAGGAAGCTCAATACTTGATCTACCTATTAGAATAGCCGGGTTGGTATGAGTATAGCTAGTAAAATTATCGTTCTCCAGACACCATGAACAGATGTCTAATATGTGGAGCGGTCGCCTATTGCGTTATGGAAGAAATATAAACTATATTAAATTGCGCTAAATCTTAACGGGTTCATGGCCTAATGGTAAGGCGTCAGATTTCGGTCGCCTAAGAAGATCTCTGAAGATTGCAGGTTCGATCCCTGCTGAGCTCGATTTTTTGCCTTTTATACTACCCTAGTATTAGCACAATGTTGATTGTCTCCTTACTTCGGGGATGCCTTTTTTTTTCAATTTATGTTATTTTCTTATTACTCAATAACATGGCTACTTATTTCTGTTCGTCCGTTTCGACATTTTCTTATACCTTTATGTCCCCGGTTAAGTATGGAGTACTTAGTACTCCATACGGATCCGGATCCGGATCCGTACCTCAGGTACATATACTTACAGTAGATATGTATGTACGTATATAGGCGAGTGGCCGAGATCGGCCTTCTCAAAATGACTGCTAAGACATCTTCACCGCCAGAGCAACCAATAATGAGCGACTCAATTTACCTGCAGCGTTTCACCGAGTAGTCAGTGGTCAGTCATACATACAGGCTGGGAAACCCGGCCGTCCATTCTTTTTTACCCCGATCAATTCAGGATTAGGTATAATCATCAGGCTGTGAGTGAGCGCCACCTCCTGAGGATTCGTCACCGTCTACCATGTCTTCTTCCCTTCCAGGGAAGCGAGAGCTGCCCGAGTCGCAATATGACCTAACCACCTACTGGGGTCGTGTCAAGCAGACCGCAGCAATCACAGACCCGAGGTGAGTGAGGATTCCTAAATTCGAAGCCTCTACCCTCTATTCTTCTATATATACTACTTTCCTGTTGTTCCTAGAGCTTCACATTACTGACAATGATTCTTCGCAAACCACAGAACCCTCTTCGTGAGCAAGCATGGCCTCGAACAGGCAAAGAAGCAGCTGGTGGCGTACAAACAGGGCGAGATCCCTGACATGACGCCGGCGCTATGGAAGGCGAAAAAGATTGTCGATTCTACGATACATCCTGGTACGGCGAACTGAACTGGCACTCCCGGAATCCTATTCTTACCGTATATTCTCGAGCGGCGGGTGGATGGACGGATGAAAGCTAACCGAGGCTGCCCGCAGACACCGGAGAGACGGTCCTCCTGCCCTTCCGAATGTCCTGCTTCGTGCTGACGAACCTGGTCGTCACGGCGGGCATGCTTACACCGGGTCTCAAGGTACGCTGCGATCTGGCGAAAACTGGCGATGATAGTAGCTTAAAGAAGACGGCGATGATGACGGGCTAGCTAACTTGCAAAACCTCGCTTTGCGCACCACCTCCAGACCACCGGCACCGTCCTCTGGCAGATCACGAACCAGTCCGTCAACGTGGCCATCAACTCGGCCAACGCGAACAAGTCGAGCCCGCTCTCGTGGGGCAAGGTCGCCCAGTCCTACTTCCTCGCCGTCGGCGCGTCGTGCTCGGTGGCCGTCGGCCTCAACTCGCTCGTGCCGCGCCTCAGGCGCGTGTCGCCCGCGACCAAAGCCGTGCTGGGCCGCCTGGTGCCCTTCGCCGCCGTGGCGTCGGCCGGGATGCTGAACGTGTTCCTGATGCGGAGCGAGGAGATGCGGACGGGCATCGACGTGTACCCGGTGCTGTCCTCGGCGGCGGCAGCGGAGGCCAAGGCGGGCGACGGCGAAGTCGCCAGCCTAGGCAAGAGCCGCAAGGCGGCCCGGCTCGCCGTGGGCGAGACGGCGCTGAGCCGCGCCTTCAACAGCAGCCCCATCATGGTGGTGCCGCCGCTCATCCTCATGCGCCTGCAACGCACCGACTGGCTGCGCCGCAACCCCCGCTACACCCTGCCCGTCAACCTCGGCCTCATCCTCGGCATGAGCTACGTCGCGCTGCCGTTCGCGCTCGCGGCCTTCCCCCAGCGCCAGAAGATCAGCGCCGACAGCCTCGAGCCCGAGTTCCACGGCCGCGGCGGCGAGGGCGGCTTGGTCGTCTTCAACCGCGGTATCTAACTACCTGCTGCGCTCTCTTAACTCCGGGGGGCGCAGGGCGCGGGGCGTGGGGCGTGTGTGTGTATGTGTTACGACATGGGGACGATGGATAGATAGATATCGATCGAGGACACGAAGAAAGGGAAAACAGCACGGGTCGGTTGGTTGGTTGGTCATTCGGTCGCGGCGTTATAGCGGTGGGTACTCGGTAGAGAGCTATCTGGTGCCAAGTCAGTCGGTCAGCTGGCTGGCTCACATGATAAATAGATAGATAGGCGTTGCGAGGGTCTGTAGGAAGCAGATCGGATAGACTTGCGAGCGACGATGAGATTTGACGAGAATCTCAGGAAAATCCCCCAAGATCATGTCGTTGTAGATCTAGATAGATAGACAGACAGACAGACAGACGACACAGAGACAGACATCAAGAGAAAGAAGGCAGATATACCTAGCTGATGCCAGTTGGTATTACCTATGATGCACAATATATATACATGTGAACGAAAGAAGAAGATAGCAAAGCACGGAGGTATAAACCACACCCGGTGTCTGTCATGAGAAGCTGACCTGATCTGGTGATGAGGGCGAAGAGGTGCCGCCTCGTGTTTCAGCTTCCATTCATTCAGCCAGTGTTGGACTGGCTGACTGGATCTGTTGCGTGTGAGATTACATATATATGTGTTTATATAGGCTAGGTATATATTACATTATATAAAGACAGAGATCCCCGGTAATAATGCCGTAAATAGACTATATATTTATATCTTATATACCCACGCAACGAACATGCTCGAGATGATGATACACCAGACCAGCCGCACCTCCGCCGGGCTTCCGGGTCTCAGCTTGGGGCGCTCGGTTGCTCGTAGGAGGTATGTATGTATTGTATCTACTGTACCTACGTAGACAATACAAGACATCCGTACATCATGACACATTAGGTACCATACCTACCTACCCTCTTCTTCGCTGGCTTGACACGCTACAGCGATCGCCTCACGCGTGTGTCGGGGGTTGCAGGGAAAAGGGAGATCCGGAACGCGGCGATTTGAGCTGCCAGGTAGGTAGATAGATTAGGTAGGCAGGTTGGGTTTATTTCATTTATCGGACAGCATGTATGTATGTATGTTCGAATCAGATCAGCAGGCCCGACGGGGTTGGTTTTCCCATGCCAGCAACGCACAGGAGGGACGTGCCCGTTCATTTGTGCATGTGTTGCGTGGAGGGGTTTCCGTTTGGAGGGGTTTTGTCACACTGCAGCCGGTGTTGGCATTTTTGATGGGCTGTCGTGGAAGCTGTCCGTCTTGTACATACATAAATATCTATGAATGTATGGATATGGTGTATGTAAAAGTATGTATGTAAGCTCGCTTCTGCTGCAGTATCGTATTTGCGTTCATAACATTGAAGCCCAGGGTGATACCTAATAGTTTGTTCACTCGCCGGTACCACTAGGTGCTGACGATACCGGTATCGAGGATACCTCTGTTTTCTGTCGACTTGACATTCCCGCACCAGTGACCAAAAGTCGTTAGGTAATTAATTATATATATAAATATATATCATCCCGCATGGTCCCTTGAGGTGTGCTTCAAACTCCCGGGTAAAGACTAGATATAAATAAGAGCAACAGACTTCGGAGGCGAAGATAGAAGGATTCCCGGGTTGTGATTATTAAGGGTCCAGATGTATATTACGCCATTGGGATCGGATTGGGAGAAATCGGAACCCCCCTTCATGAAGGATGGATCGACGAGGCTGACGAGCGGCGCTGCAGGTTGTTGCAAGCGTGTCCTGACGTAACTTCTCGCAGTACCTTGGGCTGGCTTGTATATGCGCAACAAAAGAGACTCACACGCAGATGGTGGACTGTAGCCAATACGGCCTAGTCTGTATGGATAAGCCAATTTACCCAGGCGAATCCGTGAATAACCAGCAGCCGTGTTTCTTACCCCATTTATGCTATGGTATGTACATATGTAACTTATATAGTAGAGGTGAGAGCTGGTGAGTGAGAGAACGGTCCGTACCGGTGGACTCGGTTACAGCCAAGTAGTCCAGTAAAGGGGTGCTGACGAGTGGATGATTTCATTCGGGCATCGCTTACAGTCCTTCACACGAGAGGGAAATGCTATACGCATAAGTTACTAACCTAGTTGCTGCTCGGCTTTCGTGAATAGTGATACCGCTCATTTCCAGACTTGCCACCCCCAAGAAACTAGCTGCGTCGAGACTAGAGGGGTATAGGTAGCTAGCAGGCTAGGCTCCGAAGGTCTTAAGCTAAAAGGCAGGGCAGAGTTGAATAAACAAAGGACGGCAGGTCGGCTGGTTGGGTTGCTTATGCAGCACGTCGAATCTCACGCTTGCCAGTATGCGATGTGTCTCTAGCAATGAGAGCTAGGCTCTTCTTGTACTCGTAAGGCGAATAAGGCCACCTGAAAAAGCAATGAGTAAATACATACATACCTTTAGACAGAAACCTTTGGCCTGGCATCAACACAACTGCTTACTTGATCCATGCTTGAGAAGGCAGTTTGGAGTGGTGTTCATTTCTGGGTTGACAGAGGAATAAACAAATCGCCGTCTCAGCATGCTGTCCGAGGATCTGCCTTACGGATTTATACATATATGTATGATGATGCTGACGGCAGGACAATTCGGCGTGTCCAACCCGAAGGGTCCAGAAAGTCGCTATGCCCAAAAGAGGTAACCTAAGATAAGTCAGAGTATAATTGTCCTAGAGAGGCTATACGGTAGACTGCCACGCAGCGCAGCGGGGTCAACTGTCCAAAGTCCCTCACTTGGAGGCGTCGGCTCTTTTTCGCTAGCCATCCCACGGGATGGATATGTTAGTAATAAGAATAGGCGATGATAGCAGGGCCACACGAGATGGGCAATGGGGTTGTTACGTTGATGGTGAGGGGAAGGCTAATACCTACTGCATGCAAGTGCATACATACATACATAGGCGAACCTATTGCTCATACGTACATGCGTATCGTAGACACGATGGGGAGGTACATACAAGCACAGCTGAGCGAGCCAAATGCTCAGTACGACTACCAATAGCGATGTGGCAATATTTGCCGTCTGCGTCTACGCCTTGACAGCGTATTCATACCAGAAAAGTGTTGGTGGCAGAAATTAGGGTGCTCGAATCGGCCCTGGTGGAATGTTGTATTTCTGTA